AAACACGATTTACTAACATACTGCCTCAAAACTTTGTTTCTCCTTTTCAACTATTTTAACGCGATTTAATTTTTCTTATCGTTCTTTATCCATAGTTTCAACCTTTTCATTTGCTTCTTCAAGAGGAACTTTATATTGAGAAGTTCCGATTAATGTCTTCATATATTCTAAGAACCCAACTTCATGCTTATTTGGTGCTTTGGGTATATTAATTCAACTTCTCCCTAATAATTAATTTAAACATAGAATTTTGATGAAATTTACATATTGTAATAAATTTATGATAAAGGGAGGTGGCTGTTGAAACGAATTTTTACCGATATGTGAATAAATCCCAAAGATATGTAATTAGTCGCGCACCGATAAAAGAATTCGTGACTTCGAAACGTTAAAACTATTTTTTAAGATAAACAAATTTGAATTAATCAAAATGTACAAATTATCCTTGATTTAAAATAAAAAAATAATGTTCATAATCATGATCCACCTCGACCCCGAATTCATCAAAGAAGTGTTAGAAAGTTGGAACCAATTTCAACAGAAAAGCTTTTATTGTGAAGCAACAAGCGAATTAATCCCACTTTTGATTTTCGTCTAGCATCGAAGGGATGTGATTTTTTGCAAGCTTTAATGTCAGAAAAGAAAATATTCATTTGGGATATAATTACTAAATGTGTAGTGTAATAAAAACGTATGACTTACCAGGCGTAAATTTAATGATAAAAAAAAAAACGACTTTAAAGAGTTTGATAAGTTTGTTAGTTTTGGTTAATTAACCGATTTGATAAAAAATTTTCTCTGTTTTGATTGGTCGATTATTAACGCCCATCCTAATGGTTTGCACATTTATACGACAAAAAATAAATCTGACTAAAGAAAAACCCCAGCTATTTAAAATATTGCAATACAATCTAACATATCACTATAATATGCTCCTACTACTCATACAAGAATTGGACGTGTTTCGACGATGGTCCTCCACTATATTGTCAAAGTAAATATCATAGCGTTGAGAAACTTGATGGTTTTATAAATAAATTTACTAATATAAGTCCATCCACCAGATACCCAACCTCTGGCAAACAATACAACGGGTACAAAGCCACTCTTAGTGCGCTACCCGATTTCAGATTCGAGCAGTAAGTATGAAGGTTTTTATTGCTTACATTTATATAACGTGCTGGTCGTACAAAATGGACCTATCCTTTAACTAAACGTATTTTCTTCACATTTAATAATTATAGTAATTGATCTGATGCCTATGGTTGGCGGATATGCAATTACCAACCATACAGGAATAGGCCGCCCTCAAAGTAAATAGCGCTTAGAAACTTTAGGAAATATGCTATTTTATAAATTTATTAATTAAATAATTCTTTCATATTTAATAATTATAGTAACGCCTATGGTTGACAGAAGTATGCGATCATCAACCATACAAGCCCTCTATTGTCAAAGTAAATAGCGTTTAAAAACTTAAAAATTATGATAGTTTTATTAAATTTACTAATTAATTTTTTATTCACATTTAATAATAAATAGTAATTTACCTGACGTTTATGGTTGACAAGTTTGATGATGGCTCCATTATCAAAGCCATTGATGGTGGTTGTTGTCATCCATTATCAAAGCCATTGATGGTAGTTGTGGCAACGGGAGATGAAATTGATGAGGAATTGGACCGAAGAAACCAATGAAAATCCAATGGAAATGGAAAAATATTCCTTGATAAAAGGAAATCATTTGATTTAAAAGAACTTTCCCTCAACAATTTTAAAATAGAAAATTTCAGACTTTTAGGACTTGTTAGTTCCATTGTAGGAATCTTGTCAGCCTTTCCGTGCTTGATGGTGGGAAATTTAAATTATGAAGATTGCTGTTGGCAAAGGGGATGGAGATCATGGGACGTGAACATGATCATTATGCAGTCTTATATATTTCAATTAATACAGCTTCACAAAATTATAATTATAGTAGATAGCGATTTAAACTTGTTAGTAGATGTAGTATTTACTCTATATTTTACTTTCTAATGATAATGGAATCCAGATCCTTTATTTTTGAAATTTAGGACTGGGCCCCAACTTAACGGTCCCATGATAATTATCGATCTCAAAGTTCATTTTCCTTATAAAATTATTCATAAAATTTATTATAACAAATTTTAACAAGAGTTACTATTATAGATAAGCGATTAGACTTTTATATATTGGGTCATGGAAAATGTACGACATTGGCGTAGAGATGGGGTTAAAAGAACAAGTACAGACGGAAATCAATTAATGCAATTAGTTTTGTTTCTTTGCTCTTTGCTATTGCAAGAGGATGAAAGTTTTGTTATTTAATGTCGCTAGAATATTCAAAGAATTTTTTGTATTGATTTGTCAATCAAAGCAAAATCGAATTTGTCTTTAGTATCCTTATAATTCGCATATTCCGCTTGATTAAATAATGGTAAATTATGAATTACGAATAAGTATTGTAATATTTTATGATACATATATTAGTAACATCGTAAAATATAAAATGAAACAATACTTTCTTTGAATTTCGGTGCGTTTCAATTTATTCATATTAGTTTTTGGCAGAAAATGAATATTAAATTCAATGAAAAAAATGACCAACCGAACCACCACCAACGCACATTACTACCGTTCGATTTATCATCATAAACATCTGACATATCACTAAAACAATCATCAAAAGCTGCTTCATGAGCTGACACTTTCATTGGTAAAACTTAAAATTCCAATGCTATCTGGTCCAATGATTGATTACAGCTCAATTACAGTACAATCTCAAACTGAATCTAGCA